CTCTGCTGAGGGCTGAGAGCTCTGGGGAGTAAAGAGCTCAGACTAACTGGGCTGGTCTCTGGGGGCATAGCCTCCGGATTTTAGGCACAATGGCACCTTCTCTTCAGCAACCCTAGACAGCCTGGCTACTGCCTTCCTCCTCTTCTTCAGCCCAGAGAGTCTCCCAGGGTCCAGAGGGCCACCCACAGAAGAAGTGGGCCAGGTTTCGAGTCAGACCCCGGTCAAAGGGGTTGCTGGTGCGCTGGCGGAGGTAGGCAATTCGGTGTGAGGATATGAACTCCCAGGTAGTAGTGTTGCTGGCCACCAGGTAGAGGTGTGAGGCCAGGAGCAGGCTGACCACCAATGAGAAGAAGGAAAGCAGCAGGAAGGTGGCAAACAGGAGCCCGGTAGACCGTAGCCACAGCCCCCAGGGCTGGAAGAACCGGAGGCCGGACCTGGAGGACAGAGAAGGAGGAACTGGAGGACTGCAGGGAGTCCTCTCTGTGAGCATCTATGTGTATATGGTCCACACTCTCCGGTGCACCTACCATGCTAGATACAGGCCCCACAGGAGAACCACCAGCTGCAGTGCCAGATAGGCCACGAAGAGTGGGTGGTTGCGTTCACCCACACAGTTCTCCATCCAGGGACAGTGGTGGTCATAGCGGCGAACACATCGGCGGCAGTCACGACAGTGTCGGGCTCGCAGGGGCTGCTGTGGGCACAGAGGGGAGTCTAGGCTCAGTGCTGGCTCCCCCAGGGCATTCTGAGAGGACTGAAGGCCACAGTCAGGTCCTAAATTTGGGAGGCCTTCCTGGAGGAGAGGCAAGGCCAAGGTGCTAGGGCGCCAGGGCAAGGATTCTGAACTTGGTCCCGGTTCCTTCCACAAGAGTATGTGTACATCACCCACCAGCACCAGGCAGTATCTGCAACGCCGGAGTGGGATAGCCTGAGGTACCATAGCTGTCTGTTCCTCCTTGGGCTCCTCCTGAAAGTGAAACAAAGGGTCTAAGATGGGGGGAGGGGTCCCCTTGGTTCTGGATGAGCGGGACTGGGGCCCATCCCACGTAGAAGGGAGGTATGTGCACAGTAGAGTACTGGACACTTGGTGGCCTTTGCAAGGCCTTGTCCTCACTTGGGCCTTGGTGATTTCCTCATTGTTGGAGCAAAATCATAGGGTAGGAAAGAGGCCTCACTAAGACGCCCCACAATGTAAGCAGCTCAGAACTTCATAGATGGATTTCTGAGGTCTCATTTCTCTGTTGGCCCAAGTAGGGGGTGTGGACCTCAGGGTCCCTGGTTACCTGAGATTGGGGCTGAGCAGTCACATAGCCCGGGTCCATGAGTGACACAGCCAGATAAAGCAGCAGGGAGCCCAGGACCAGGAGCAGGAAGGTGAGGGGCAGGAACAGCTCCCCTTGCTCTTCCCATTGGCGTAGCTCTGCAGAGGCCAGAGGACAGTGAGGCCCACAGCAAGAGGGGCAGGGAGGGGGAGAGTGAGCAGCTGGAGGGGAGGGAGCAGGGTGAAGAGACTAACCCTGATGAATGTGGGAGGGGGAGGGTTCCTATGGGAAGAGTCAGCCCTCAAAGAGGGGCAACCAGGAGGCTCAGATGCCACCGTGGGAACCCAGGCTGGGAAGGTACCAGTGTGTTTAAACCCATTCTGGAAAGGCGGGAAAGCTGAGAACTGAGAGAACTTGTGTACACAACTCTAGTACCCTTGGTTGAAAGAGGGCCCAAGAGGGCCGCGAAGGTTTTGGAGGGAGCTGCTGATTCTTGGTGGGGAAACCTGAGGATAAAGGGCAGAGCCTCAGTGGTGGGGGCTGTTGCTTTGGGTGGGGAAACCCTGGGTAGGGGGTTGCTGAAGGAAATACAGGGGAAAGGAGGTGGATGGGCAGTTAGTGGTCTCATAGGATTTGGGAAGTTGAGC